CATCCGAAGCCTGCCAGCTGTCCTCCTGCCACCATGGGTGTCCCACCACCAACCCAGCTGCTTGGTTTCCCCTGTGCTTCTCCTGCCCCAGCCCAGCTTTGCAGGGCAATGAACTGACCCAGAAGAATGTGCTCTGGGTACACCGAGAGCGGCAGAGCCAGGGAATTTGTTTCCCAGACACACTCTGATGGGATTAGGAATAACTCTCTGATAGATAATTCTCCATTAGGTCTGGTGATTGATTTTCTTCCTTCTTAGCCCCAGCTCTCTCCTCCTCTCCCCGTTTCAGCTGGATTATTCTTATGCTTGGTTTGCTAATTGCCCAATCTCTAGAGCCTCATTGGAGTGAGGCACAGGCACATCACTGGCCTCCTCCGACCCTCCGAGTTTTCTGCCTTTTTGTTTATGTCTCAGCTCTGATTTAATCCCCTCCACTCCCCAACATAAGATGGGTTGTGTCTTCCAAGAGGCAGAAACATGCTGGTGTAACTCCTGGACCCAGGGAAGGTCCTGGGGATGCCCCTTCCCCTCCTCCCTGTCACCTCCAACCTCTCCGTGCCCCCTGGTCTTTTCCAGGGCTTTTCCAAGCTCGGTGTGGCCACAAACCTGCTGGTTTTGCAGACTCAAGGCAATGGATAAAATAAAGGTGCAGGAGCCACAGGTTTATTTTTGGGTGATGGAACAAGAAACCCCAGAGATGCAGCACAGGTCACCTTTGGGATGCTCAGGGTGCATCCAGGGTGCCCATCCTCCACTCTTAAGCCCATTCCAACAGCTCTGGATGACTTGAGTCCCAGAAGAGCCATGGAGTGTACTTGATACATCCGTATTCCCATTCCTGGTAATCAAGATCTCGTCTAGTTGATACCCCAGGACCAGGGAGCACATGGAGCTTGTGCTGATGGTGAGTCCGAAACTTCCCGCAAAGCAATCCTGGGGAGATGTACATGTACATGTAGACAAGTGACATGGGTTAGTGGTGGCCTCAGCAGTGTTGGGGGACAGGTTGGACTCGATGATCTTAAAGGTCTTTTCCAGGCACATTGATTCTATGATTCTGTGAGTCAGGGGAAGCGCAGAGGATGCTCGGCCACTCCATCTGCCTCCGAAAACAGCCTAACCACAGCACAGGGGCTGATGGGGCGCTGGTGCCTGTGGTGATGCCGGCACAGCCCCGGTGAGCACAGAGGTGCCACCGTCTGCGTGGCAGAGCTGTGGCTGCTGCTGGTCTTTTCCAGGCACATTGATTCTATGATTCTGTGAGTCAGGGGAAGCGCAGAGGATGCTCGGCCACTCCATCTGCCTCCGAAAACAGCCTAACCACAGCACAGGGGCTGATGGGGCGCTGGTGCCTGTGGTGATGCCGGCACAGCCCCGGTGAGCACAGAGGTGCCACCGTCTGCGTGGCAGAGCTGTGGCTGCTGCTGCGAGCCTGGCGCAGGCAGCGACTGGGACCCTTGGCTGCTGGGGCAGGGCTGAGCAGCAAACAGGCATCACTCAAGGTGTTTCCAGCAGCATTTGGCTGCCGTTGGTGTTTGTAGGAGCCCTCTCCTGTCCCATGCCAAGTTTGGGACATGCTGGCACTGGTGTGAGTCGCTGGCACTGCCACCTCCCTGTGACCTGTGCGTCGGGGCACTGATCATCAGTATTTTGAGGATAAGCCTTTCCAAAAGGCATGAGGGTCCCCGGATCACTCTCTGCACCATTTGCTCCCTCCCTACCTGGGGGTCTCCACCCTCCCCTGGGGTCCCATGCATCTCCTGGAAAGACGGAGCAGTATCCTGTATCCCGAGTGCATTCCCTGGGTGCTCCTGGCCTCCCCTGGCAGAGCCTATGAAGGAGGAGTGACATGGTCTTGGCCTCAAGCAGCAGCAGTGGATTGTTGAAGAAGGTCTCAGCAGGACCATTTTGCATCCTGCAAGTCAACAGAAGAATAAAACAAGACGTTGCTTTGACTGAAGTATTTGTACTTGCACGATGTCAAAACAGGGGAACCTGGAAATGTCAACCTTGGCTTATTTTCTGGTCTGTATTCAGAAAAAGGGAGAAAATGGCAGCTGAGGAGCAATTGTTCTTAGAGGAGCTGATTGTGCCAAGTGTGTGCACCAGAGCAGGAGCGGGGTGGAAGAGACCTTGCTCCCTCCTTTTCTCTACGATGAGGTGGTGCAAGGGAGTAAACCCCACCAGCACGCTGGGTCAGCTGGTGGCTGAGCATCCGAGAGCCGGGTGGTTGAAGAGCACTGGTTGCTCCATGCTCTGACCTCTGCCTGCTGGGAAGCACCGTGCTGCCAGTGGCTGGGGCAAACTGGGCTCTGTGGCCACACGCCCTGCTGGGGAGGGAGGGGAGGAAGGGGCTGCTCCAGGAGCTCAGAAGTGGCCAGAGGTGGTTTGCTTTGCTTCCCCCCTGCCATGCCACAGCCCCTCTGGTTTTCCCAGCTCCATTCCCCAGCCCTGCATGCAGCAGGCATGTTATTTTTAAAACTGAATTAAATGCAAGAAAAGCCTCAATCTGAGCCTTCAACTAGAGGCTTAATTGGCCTCACTCCCAAGGGACCAAGCTGCACTATTGGGGTAATGAGCTATTAATAAACAGCTCTGAGCTCAGGTCTGCCTGGTCTGGATGAGGATCACATCCCCCTGGTTGTCACTGCAGGGGACGTGGGCTCTCTGCTGCTGGGGTGGCTTCTGTGGGATGTGCTGGAGCTGGCAGAGACCCACAGGGTCAGAGCTGGCATCAGGCACCTTGGCTCATGAGAGGTCACATCCGCCTGGGTTTGCTGGGAGGGGGCTCATGCAATGCCTGTTATTCCCACCATGGGGTTTGCCGAGGGTGTCAGGGCTGTACCCAGCTCCACCGGAGCACCCATGGGTGCAGGTTGTTGGGCAGCTGGGGTGGCCAACGCTCTGCTCCAACTGCGATGCGGGCAGGAGAGTCTGGGGCTGCAGCTCCCGCTCCCCATCTGCTGGGTAAAACAACGCCAGTGGGTTCAGACCTTTGCTTAGAGGATCAAGTGGCCGAGTAGTAACCAAAAGTAGAGTATGGTTACCCTGGGCTCATTCATAATGAACACAGCACAGAGCTGCCGTGCACCAGGCTGCCGGGAGCAGGGAGGTGAAGGGGACAGAGCCCCCCAGCCCTGGCAGGGCCGTGATGTGGGCACAGGTTATTTGTTTAGTGTAGACACACTAAATACAAAGTGTTATGAGAAGTTGGGAGAGGTTTTTCCCTGTGAGTTTGCAGGTTGTGCCTGGGCGCATCCTTCCCATCCAGCCCTGTGGGAGAGCAGGAGGGGAGGCTTCTGAACTGGGGGGACCAAGTGAAGCCTCACACTGGAGCCAACTCAGGTTCCCGAGTCCACCAGCCAGGCAGAGCCCATTGCAGAACTGGCACGGCTGTGAGCAGCCTCGTTGAAGGCAAAGGCTGCCAAGCAGCTGCAGAGCATAGTGCTCTGGTCCTCAGGTGGCATTTGGGGACCCCCAATTGCTGGACACAGGGGTTTGGGTGAAGGGGTGAAGCCTGAGCAGTGCTGGAGAGAGGGTTGTGTGGCTGATGAGGAGGGAAGAAGGGGCTGGGATGTGTGGCAGGGGCAGCAATGGGGTCTCTGGTCCCACACTGATGTCCCACAGCAAGGAAGGACGATGCTACATCCACCCAGCTGTAAACCCCTTCCTGTGGTTGTGTGAAAAATGATAGCACCCCCCTCTCGGTTTGGTTTGTTGGAAGAGAAAGGGGAATGTGTCTTGCCCCACCACCCCCGTGGCCCTGGGTGCTCCCTCCTCTGGGGTGCCTTAGCACAGGGACAAGGATGGGGGATTCAGGTGGAAGTGGTGGCTTATGCTCTTCCTGCTGCGAGCCTGCCCCAGCAGTTCCCACCATGTCTCCTGGTGATGAGCAGCAGCTCCTCCTTTATCCCTCCATCACCCCCTTAAACAAGCACCAGCCACATTACATTTGGCCTTTCCAGAAGCTTTTGGGCAGTGAGGACAATCACCCCTGCAGGGGTGGCTGGAGGGGCCGCCTCTGCCCTCTGTACCCCCCAAATTGCCTTTGTTGGGCTCAGAAACACCCCTCAGTGCCCCAGCCAAGCAGCTCTGCTGCTTAATTAGGTTAATGACAATGCTTCATTATGGAAAGGCAGCTGAGGACTTTGCAGGCTCTGGGAAGTGTGTTTCCAGGCAGCCCGGCAGATTTGGGGCACAGGAAACAGGGAAAGGGAAGCAGAGAAAAGGGAAAGCAGCAGCAAAGTGCTAATCCCTGGAAAGGAGGGCAGCCAGGCTCCGCACAGGGTCGCTGCTAATCCCTCATCTGGGAAGATTGTGCCCGCGGACGCCTTAATCTCCACTCCAAGAGAGCAACGCTGGGGACAGGGACAGGAGGACAGGTCCTTACGTGCAGTGCTGAGCATCCCCTTGGCCTGCGGGACCTCCCAGGGCCTGGGAAGGATCTGTGCCACTGGATGAGACCTGGCTGGGAAGCAGAGGGGATGTGGCATCCCACCCGTGTCATGAGTTTGCAAGGCCTCTGGCTGCATCCCTTTGCTCCTACACTGCCCTGGAGGGTCTGTGTCCCCGATCATCCCAGGGCACTCACGGTCCCCATGCCTATGTGTGCACTGTCAGTGCACAGCAGACATGAGCCAGGCAAGGGGCAGAGGCTGAGATGTGAGTCTGCTTCTGTGTCTCCTCTTGCAGGTCTCTCACCCTGCCTCAGTTTCCCTGCTAGCAGCACGTGCAGGCAATGAGGCTCGTTTAGCCCAGCTTTGCATGGGGCACTGTCACTGGCTCACACATTAGACGCTGAGGGTCCTGGAGGGTTTCTCGGTGGGGACTGTGACTTTATCATTATCACGGGCCATGGTTTGGGGAGAGTTTTCCCATCTCAGCCCACACGGGTGATCTGGGGCTCACAGGACTTTGTTGCCCTCCCCCAGGCTCGCTGCTGACTCCGCATTTCTCTCCCTTTCAGACGCATGGGAGAATGGTCGTGAGTCCATAAGACCATGCTCTACACAATGAGATGTTGGCTCCTGGTCCTGGTCCTTCACCTCGTCCATTGCCCCCCCTGCCCGCGGCGAGTGTGCCCCGCAGATCAAGTCGGTGGTGTGTCACCGCAAGCGGCTCACCTCCATCCCCGAGGGCATCCCCACCGAGACCAAGATCCTGGAGCTCAATAAGAACCGCATCCGCTGCCTGAACCCGGGGGACCTCTCCCCATACCCGCTGCTGGAGGAGCTAGACTTTAGCGAGAACATCATCTCCAATGTGGAGCCAGGCGCCTTCAGCAACCTGTTCAACCTGCAGACCCTGCGGCTCCGGGGGAACCAGCTCAAGCTCATCCCCCCGGGGGTCTTCACCAAACTGACCAACCTCACCCTCCTGGACATCAGTGAGAACAAACTCGTCATCCTGCTGGACTACATGTTCCAGGACCTGCGAAACCTGAAGAGCCTGGAGGTGGGTGATAATGACTTGGTGTACATCTCCCAGCGGGCCTTCTCGGGGCTCCTTGGTCTGGAACAATTGACCATCGAGAAGTGCAACCTGACCTCCATCTCAGCCGAGTCACTTTCCTACCTCCAGAACCTGGAGGTGCTGCGGCTCCGGCACCTCAGCATCTCTGCGCTGGAGGACCAAAACTTCAAGAAGCTCTACAACCTCCTGCAGCTGGAGATCGACAACTGGCCGCTGCTGGAAGACATCTCCCCCACCAGCTTTCAGGGCCTGAACCTCACCTCTCTCTCCATCACCTACACCAACATCACAGCCGTGCCCGCCACTGCCTTGAGGAGCCTGGTGTACCTCCGGTACCTGAACCTATCCTACAACCCCATTAGCACTGTGCTGAAGGGCTCCTTTAAAGACCTCATCCGGCTCCAGGAGCTCCACATTGTGGGTGCTCTCCTGGTGTCTGTGGAACCACAGGCTTTCTCCGGCTTGAGACAAATCCGGCTGCTCAACCTCTCCAGCAACTTTCTCTCCACACTGGAGGAGAGCACCTTCCACTCCGTCAACACGCTGGAGACGCTGCGGGTGGACAGGAACCCGCTGGCCTGCGACTGCCGCCTCCTCTGGATCCTGCAGCGGCGGAAGACGCTCAACTTCGACGGGCAGCAGCCCATGTGCTCGTCACCACCCGAAATTCAGGGCAATGCCCTGCGTGACTTCCCGGACTCCGTGCTCTTTGAGTACTTCACCTGCCAGAAGCCCAAGATAAAGGATCGGAAGCTGCAGCACGTGACAGCCCGGGAAGGACAGTCCGTGTCCTTCCTCTGCCGGGCGGATGGGGAGCCAGACCCCTCCATTGCCTGGGTGTCCCCCCAGCACCGCATGATCACCACCCGCAGCACAGGGCGGGTGACCGTGCTGCCTGGGGGCACTCTGGAGATCCGCTTTGCCCAGATGCAGGACAGTGGCACCTACATCTGCATCGCCAGCAACGCCGGTGGCAATGACACCTACTTCGCCACCCTGACGGTCAAGGGGCGCCTGAACGACGGCTCCCACTACGCCAACCGGACTTTGTACCTCAGCGAGTTCAACGACACCTCTCACAATGACACGCAAGTCTTCTTGAAGTTTACGTTGGACCTCAAGACCATCCTGGTCTCCACGGCCATGGGCTGCATCACCTTCCTTGGCGTGGTGCTCTTCTGCTTCCTCCTCCTCTTTGTCTGGAGCCGGGGCCGAGGGCAGCACAAGAACAACTTCTCAGTGGAGTACTCCTTTCGCAAGGTGGATGGTCCCACCACCACCACCGGCCAAGGAGGAGCCAGGAAGTTCAACATGAAGATGATCTGAGCCTCCCCTGGTGGAGAACTGTTGTCTGCTGCCCGCCCATGGGCAGCAGGATGGGGCCGGGGTATGTGGGAGCACTGGTGATGTCCCGGGGCTGGCGATGGGACGTCGCAGTGCTGGGACATGGCCAGAGACATGCCAGAGGCACCGCGGGCCAGAGAGTCAGAACCGCATGGACCTCGGGGTTGGAGAGCGATGACCCCAGCCCCATGGTGAGCCCTCGGGGCACAATGGCTCAGGAGCCATCCCAGCTCCAGGGGCTTTCAATGTAGCCAACATCTTTGCTACCAACTATGCATTTCTCCAGCCAACAGATCAGCAGCGTTGGGACCTGGGAAAAGAAACTGATTCCCTTTTCTTTCCCATTTCCCTTTTTTTTTTTAAGAGACTTTGAAAAACTTTCCTGGTGGTTGTTTATGGTTCTTCTCTTTTCTTGTTGTTGGGTTTTGGGGTTTTTTTGGTCCAATTACTTTTTTTTTTAAATGAATTTCCAACAGAGAAGTCTTCCTTGGCAATGCGGGACTGGGAGAGGCACTGGGGGAGGTCATGCTGAGTTGGGGTGTCCCCCAGCCCCTTGGCAAAGCTGGATCCCCAAAGGCACATCCGTGCCTGGAGGGCTTCTCATCGGCAGATTTTAAACACGGCATCTGCAAACGTGGGTACCCAGGGATGCTCCTGCACAAGCAATAATAACCCACCCAAGGCTGGGCTCTGAAGAGGCAACAGCAAGAAAAAAAGGGGAAAAAAAGGCAAAATGAGTCCAAGGTCATTAAATCAGGAAGAGCAGCCTCAGGGTGATGCAAGGCCCTGTCTTTGCATCTGCCCAAGCTGCCGTGGGAGCAGCAGGGTGGGGAGTCAGGATTCCAACAGTGCAAAAGGCACTTTTGGGTCCATATTCCGTGGCTTGTGAAGTCTGCAGCAGAGCAGGAGCTGGCTCGCCCTGTGCAGGGGAGACTGTACAGCCCAGGAAAGAAGAGAGAAAGGCTTGGAATGAGCAGCTCAAGAACCAACAACAAAAGCAAATACTAGGAGGAGGTCCCGGCTGGCACTTCCATCGTGTCCACCAGGATCCTGCACTCTCCAGCGCTGAGAGCCATGGGTCGGTGTTCCTGGGCTCCACTCCCTGCTGCCAGTGAGATTGTTCTTAACTTCCCATTCCACCCCTGCCCAGGGCAACACTGGCTTCGGCTCAGGGATAGCATTTTGGGTAGGAAAAGGAGCAGAGCTGGCACAGACAGAAAGGAAGAGCCTGGATGGGACCTAGACAGGTCAAGGAGCCCATCACTTCCTCCGTTTCCTCTTTCTTCTCTTCCTATGTGCACCCATGGGAGCTGCTGCAGATCTCACCTCTGGTCCCATTCCTGTGGGCACGTCTACCTACCTGATGCAGGGCTCTGGGAGCTGGAGAAGGCAGTTGCCCATCTTCTGCTGGGCATCCCTGGGCCTCGGGGGCTGCACTGGAGGCGGGAGCTCCCGAGGGGTCAGGGCTTTGCTGCACAAGTGGCTGCTCAGATGCTCCCCTCTCGCACCCATGGGAGCCTCAGCAGGGAGAGGGGTGATGGGACCAGTGGGCTCAGCACCTACCCTCCTCTCCAAGGTGCTCCCACTGGGCACTCCCAGGATCCAGCCCCAAACTGGGGGGGATGCTGCCCATCTCTCCCTTCGCATGCCTGGTGCCCCCCGCTCCCCGAGCCGTGCATGCCCTGTCCCACCGCGGTCCCACCCGCGGGACCCTTC